CCGGTCAGCTCAGCTTGAAGCACCCAGCTGCCAAGGAAGGCTGCTTTGCCAGGTACAATGCGGTGGGGTGAGGCCCTGTAACAACAGGGCTCGAGACCTTCTAGCCTGGCTGCCGTCGCAAGCCAAATGGCCAATGCCAACTGCGCCTCCCCCCAGCCCGATTCTGCGGGGGCAATCGGTTTATGTCGTGGAGCCGCACAAGTGACAGCGCTTGCAATGTTCTCCCAGGTGGCGAGACAGGCAAGGGCAGAGGAATGACACTCAGCTCCTGGCGTCCACCCTCGGTCCTTGCTGCACCCTTGGCTGCTCCCAGCAGAGGGAAGAACCCAGAGGACACGAGAGAAGGACAGCTTGGCAATCCACCACGTCTCCGGGCACTCAGACCCCAATCCCCGCTGGCTTTGAAGCCTCCTCCTAGAAAGAGGTAGGACTGCAGCGGTCGGGAGCTCCCAGACAGTCAACGCTCCTGCCCTGCTCCCCGCTGGGCTACCAGTTCCCCCGGTTCTCGGAGATCCTTGGTGCAAAGAGCAGGAACGGGCTCCTCCGGGGCCTACCCGAGCTGCAGGCTCAGCTTGCACCTTGTAAAATATTAACCAAGGAAACGGCAAAGTCAGCTCCGCTCCTGCAAAGATGGGCCTGCAGGCTGGACACAGAACGCCACAGACCCAGTGACTGTCGTGTCGCAAGGGCAAAAACGCAGGGGGAGGAAGAAGAATTATTTCAGGATCCAGCCCCATGCGTGACACGACAGGTCAGACCGCAGGTCCAAGAAGGCCCCTTTTGGCCTTAAAAACATCCCTCGCTCCAGTCTGTAGACACCGGGGGGAGCAGAGAGCCAGCTCGCACCCACCGCCGGGGCTGGGATCCTGGCCGGCCTCAGTGTGCCCGCCTGTGAAACGGGTCCAAGGGAAGCGCGAGCCGCGGGGCGGGGAGGGGCGGGGCCAGGCACTCACCGTACTCGATGCCCCCAGAGAGGAAGAGCAGCGAGATGGCGACGCTGGTCAGCTTCTTCCTCCGTGGGTCGGCCATGCACCCGCCCGGCTCAGCGCCCCATCCCGAGCCCGGCCGCGCGGAGCAGGGAGCCCGAGGTCCGGCCCCGGCACGCGCATGCGCACACGGGCGGCCAGCGTGAAACGCCCTCC